TGGACTGCGGAGGTGGCCCGAGCCCCTCGAGGGGACCCCGTGGCACTGCGGACTCCCGCCCTGGAGTGGGGCGGCCTGAGCTGGGTCGGGAGGGGGGTTGTGCACAGGGCGGCTGGGTCGAGGAGAAAGAACCTGGAGGGCCGCAGGCGCCCCCGGGAACCTCCGTGGGTCTTCCTCCCGCCGCACTTCCTGCTGCCGCCGCGGTGGGTGGCGCTGAAGGCGGGGAGGGGTCAATGGCCCCAGCCGGCGGGACCCGCCAGCCGCGGCCTGGGTCTTCCCTGCTGGTGCCTGCCACGTCCTCGCGCCTGGCGCTTTCCTCCCTTCCCGGTGCCATCCACCGCCCATAACCTCGGAGGTGCGCGGCCTTTCCTGACTGCTCGGGTTCCAACTTGCTGCGACCCGTGAAACCTGCCTTTCCCCAGTCACTGCTGCCCCTCCCTCGCACCGCTGAGGTCCTTACTGCCCCGTCTTTATTTACCTGTTGCCTTTCTGTCTCTGTTCTGTGCCTTTATGGTACCATTTCCCGCCTTGCCATCACTCATTCAACAAGTACGCACTGAGCCAGAGGGCCTAACTCTCGGGGACTGAAATGGACAAACGTGTGTCCATATGTACGTATCCTGCTTGCTGCTTGAGCTCGTTGCTGTTTTCCTCCTGGCTAGTTATCGATACCTTTCACCTCTCAGTTTATTTTTCTAGCTTTCATTTCTAGCCAGAAAAACTTGCACACATGCCAGGATCTCCTACCAGATCATTAGTGCTTAAGGGACAAGGCTCGTGGTCGCATTAGACTTTGGGCTCCCCACAACGCCTGGATGAGTACCTTGTGCACGACAGGTGCTTACATGCTTGTCCACTGAGGTAGATTGGTGACTGACCCCCACTTTGCCTTCTGTGCTCTCCAGCGTGTTTGAATACCCCTCTCATAGTCTCTGGCTGGGACTTTCCCCTTCCCCACTTGTGTTGCTTTTGTTGACATTATTATTTGGCTTGTATCTTACTGCCAAAGAGCCCCGCTGGCCCAAACCCCTTCCTTACAACTCTTGCTCAACCTAATTGCCCTGCTTTCTTCTTATTCCCCAGTATGTTGGGGCCCCAATTTTCCAAACTCACCCAAACAAACAAACAAACCAAAAAACTCCAACCCAGTAGGTCAGTCTCCAGCCAGATGTATAAGAAAACAGACATGTTCTTGTATCCTTGTTATCAGGGAGCTCCCTAATCTAGACTTAAACCTAATCTAGATTTAAACTTTCGGGAGGGAGCCTTTAGGAAATCACAAGGTCTTATCCTTTCTGTAGACACATTAACTTTAAAAAAGGCTTGAAATTGTCTCTAGAGGGAAAAAGTATATATAAATGTATATATTTCTGTGAAGGGTCTATCTTGCCTTTCAGACATTATTTGAAATTTTGTGGTTGCCTCTAAAAGCCTTCCCCATAGCCTCAAACCAAACTTGTTATTTTTGAGAATGTAACTCATCTCTTAAAAAGGAGCTATATTGACTCGTATTTGGAAGAGCTGTGAAGGAGGCCGGTCAGGAGTAATATTTTGTCAGTATACTGTCAGTGGCAGTTCATCCTGAAGAGGACCCAAAATTAAGTGTGCTTTGTGAAACATACTATGTAATCCATGTTTATTACCTTCACAATTAATGTTTCTTAGTGGAATGGAGCTCCCCTTTTAGAGTGGGACCGGACTGAGGCAAGTTTACCAAATCCATTGCTGTTCTAATGAATGATTACATTCATATGGGCTTAGACATGAAGTGTAAATACTAAGGACCTTTTTACTTTTATAGCAATTTTTTTCCCATAAAGAAATGCAGTAGAAATATAGAGAAGTCATAAATAGATCCTCTTGGAGAATTAACAGCTTTCATTGGAAACTACATGTCAAGGTAAAAATGTCCCCGGTAATATTATCTGGGAAATGGAGAGTTTATTTCCTGAGGTAGAGGAAAATGTCTGCTTTTGGCTCCCAAGAGCAATTTTTACCCTGAAGTTTTAGTTCCAGTTTTACCCTGAAAAGCTCTGGTTATTCTACAACATTGAGAATGGGGAAGATTTGTTCTTTTGTGGGATGCCTGGCTTTTACCTGTTACTCTCACTAATAGTTGGCTTAATTTGTAAGTGCTGCTAGCAAGGGAGCAAACGCATGTAGTGATTGGTAAGGTGACATGGAATTCATTGAGTGAGAAGGGAAGCTGGGCTCTGCCTTCTCTCTCAGCAGCCTGCCAGGTTTGTGTTAAAGCGGTGGGTGCTAGTTGCTCCAGTTGTAATTGTCTGGCCAATGATGATTATCTTCTGATGTCGGCTGACACGGTGCTCACCAATAGGAAAGCAGGAGGCCTGTGCTGACGGCTGTAACATTATGTATGCGAGGTGATGTCATCAAAGGGCTTGCCTAGAACCTCATGCAGCCCTCCCTCCCCCCTCCGGTATCTTCCACACATACAGCCTTTCAAGTGCTTTGCTTTTTTCTTTTTGCCGGTTTCTCCCTGCCACCTTTCTTTCTGTGGTGATGGCTACTAGGACTTTATTGTTTTAGGAATTTGCCTTCTATATTATATCATTTTGTAAGATAGTATAAGAATTTCAGAACTAAATACTATCTTACTTGCGGAAGCCTTTCTGTTCACAAATCTAATTTTCACCAAGTAAAAAACAAAGTTGTAAGAGTCATTATCTAAGAAGACTACTTGTACATCTGTATTTTCTTTTTTATATGTGAGGCTCAGCAAGCAATGTGAACTTTAGAAAGAAATTACTTTCAATCTTAGAAACCATAAAAATCAATATGAACGTGTCTTAGTATTTTGCTTAAAATCCTTATATTTGTTCATTTTTTAAAATGTGGGTAAAGTGCCAGGGTGCAGTTTTTCCTGTAGGGACACTTCACTGTGAATTGATCCCTGATATTCTGGTGACCCGTTGCATGCATTTGTTAGAAGTGCATGGCTTACATATAGCGCAACCTGGCGATGGAGCAGAAGAGGCCACAGCGTTACATTCATTGACATTCCAACAACTACAAATTTGGTCAACTGTCTAGGAAAGTACTATGTCCTTATTGTACTCATTATGTTGCTTCTCACTAATTTAGGAGACTTGTTGCTCAGATTAACCTTAGGATCAAAAAGTCCTAAGTCATAAGTCCTATGCTCCTAAGCGTGAGGAGCATAATAAGTCGTTATTAAATCGACTTTAGAAAGCGCTAGATTGTAGATATAAGATGCCCCCAGGCTAAGAATGAAAAGATCGAGAACTTGTATAAAGAAAAAAGCATGCTATCCATGCTACTATAATACCTAGCCTCTGTCGCTTTGTCTGGTAAGCGTTGGAAGGCTAATCAGATGGCTATATTCCTCAGGAGACAGGTCAGGCTGTCTGCTCCCATAAAGACTT